CCCCCACGATTTCCGAGGGGGAGGGTGGGGCTCACTCCGCTCGTGAGCTCCCGAACGAAGTGAGCCCCACCCTCCCCCTCGGAAATCGTGGGGGGTAGGGGTAGGGTCCGCATGTGCCCCCCTGACATCGTGCCCTCGAAGATCCACGAGAAGTGCCCGGTTGTCATCGGCTGCAAGCGCGATGTCGAGGCAGTCCTCGAGGAGTACAAGGCTCAGGGGCTGATTCCTGCCTAGGGGGACGACAGCGGTGAGGCAGGGGGAGAGGGAGGCGAGGCAGAGGATGGAGCGCGAGTTTCAGGTGCTGACCGATGCCCAGGACGAGGGAGCAGCCAGCAACGCGAACGCAAAGCTTACCAGTTGCGCTTCCGAGCGTGCCCGCAGCAGCGCTATGGCAATGCATGATTGTTGTGTGGCATGTTGTAGTCCTTGGGCCTCTTGGGTGCCTTCTGGGAGCTTTGGGAGAGTCTGCCAGGTGGGTTTTTGAGAGCTCTGGGGGGGGGGGGGGGGTTCTGGGGCTGTGTAGGTGGTTCCTGCGGCCATCTTAGGGTGTCTCGAGGCGAATGAAGGTAGTTGCTGGGCCGTCTTGGGCCGATCTTGGGCAGTCTTGGGGCCGTCCTGGGCCTGTTCTGCGCCGTCCAAGGGGAGTCTTGGGGGCTGCCTTGTGGGCCTGGCAGAATCCAAGACTGGCAGGGCGCCAGCCCGGGAGGCCTGGCGGCCGCTAGGGGTGGCCCGCGAGGAGTCCACTGGAGGCCCCGTCAGGTGGCAGAGCAAGTCTATTTCTCCAACTCTCCTGTGTCGTTGGGTCCCTTGTTTTCAATACGCAGCGCAGCACTTCACCCTCCTCCTCCTCCTTCTCCTCCTCGCTCCTGTCAGTTTTGGGAAGGCAGGGCAGGTGCCGATGGGGATCATGTCGCAAGGGAGCGCACCTCGTCGCAGTTTCCTCGGCCCGAGGGGTGCGCATGCGAGGGCTTCGCTTCCCCGACCCTCGCCTCACCTCGCCTCGCCTTTCGGCGCGTCGGCCTGCAAGGCCGCCGGGCCGTCGGGTGGTGCTGGGAGCCCTCCGGGTTCCGCCTCGGGGTCCGCAGGGGGATCGCGAAAGCACCCCGGGCCGGCCCCCGGCACGACCGTGGATGGGACCCCAAGGGGATTTTTTGGACTGCGCATCTGATTCGCCTGACGACGGTCAGAGAAAGGCGGCGCTGCAGCTAGCAGAGTATTTCAAAGAGGGCTGCACGGGCACAAAGTAAGCACATGCAGCACAGTAACTCCTCACAGCCCCCATACTATGTCCCGACTGTACTATGTCCACTCCTCCTCCGCAACGATAGTGTCAGGCACACTGCACGGTGCTCGAGGGCACCTAAATGGTTGCTCAAACCGCGGTCAGCGCTGCGTCGCAACGGCGGTGGCAGACAGGCACGGCGGGCGGTCCTGGCTCTGCCAAAGAGCGGCGCCTCGTCGCGCAGAGAGGGGCGAAAAAGTGGGCACGACGATGGCACTCATCACGATCCTCGATCCCCCCTCCATAACAACCCTGCTACCCCAGAACTGCTGATGCAGTGCTGGCAGGCGCCGCGGCGAGCAGGTACGCGAGCACCTGGCGAGCCGCGGCGCGCGCAGGAGCACGCTCGGGGGTCCGGTGCCACACGCAACCGGGTGTGTGGTTAGCGACGGACTGCGCTCACCGGGCCCCGTGACCGCTGCCCCCCGCGGGCACAGGTCAGGCTAGCCACAATTGGGGGAGCTGTGGTCCTTACCCCCCTGGGGGACCCATCGATTTCGACACCCCTCTCGAGGGATCGTCGACGCGATGAGTTCCCCCAGGGGGGTAAGGACCACGGCTCCCCCAGTTATGGCTGGTCGGCAGGTGTGAAAGTGTGCCGGCAGCTGCAAGCGGGGGCACCTCTGGTGAAGGGTGGCGGCGCCGAGAGAGAGAGGGCGGGCGGCGCGTGCAGGCAGGCCGCGAGCGGGAGAGAGCAGGAGAGGCAGGCGGCAGCTCTCTCCGTATCCTCCCCTCCGCCCTGTTCCTCACTGAAACGTTGGCGTTGGCGCATAACCATCGCCACGGGGACGGGGGCTGCGGCGCCAGACTGTAACTGTGAACGCGGCTGCCATTCGTCGTCCACGGCCGGTGCTAATCCCTCGGAAGCCGGTCCTGCAACGGTATCTGCAAGCTCGTGCGGCAGGTCTGCATTAGGTCTCAAAAGCCTGAGGGCCCCATGCAGCTGACAATGCAAAGTTGACGCGCATGTACATACACGCGGGCCTCGGCCTGACAGTTAGTGATTGACTCCCTCACCCGAACCTGTAGAACATAACCTCCACCTCCACCCTAAACTCGCCAACTCGACGACCTCGGGTTGCTCACGAAATGAGCAGGTGCAGAAGGGGCGACCTTGCCTCGGCGAGAGCCGCTTGGGGGAGGGGGCTTCGCGAGTTCCTTTCGGAACGCCCACTATGGCCCCCTCCCCTCACGGATCGACCCTCGGCTCGGCCGCCGACACCATGTCGGCCGTGAGCTGCACGGGACATATCCACTTTGCAGAAAAACCTGACTGGATTGTTACTGGCAGCATCCTGATCTCCCTTGCCATCTTCCAACGAGACAGCGAGGTGTGTGGACCGTGCCGAGAGAAAGGGATGGCGGCGCATGCAGGCAGGCCGCGGGCGAGAGAGATCGTAGGAGGCAGGCGGCCAGTCTCTCTGACTCTACCCAACCTCCCTGTCCGTCCCTGAAACTCTGGCGTTTTGTGCAAATCACCGCCAGGGGACTCCTGCCAAGCTCGTCCACGACCGTGCTAGTCCCTGGGCGGCGGGTCGTGCGACGGCATCCGCAAAAAAAATGCAGCGGGTCTGCATCGTGTCTCAAGACCTTGGGGGCCCCAGCGGAGGGCCCCATCAAGCAGCTGACAGTGCAGAGGTGGCTGCCCGTGACGCGGGCCACGGCTCTGACAAGCGTGGCCGGCTGCTCTCCGCCTCCTCCCTGAACTCGCCGATTCGAAATCTGCAGTCTGCTCGCGATGAGAGCAGGTGCATATAGGGGGCGACCTCGCCTCGGCGAGAGCCGCTTTGGGGAGGGGGCTTCGCGAGTTCCTCTCGGAGCGCCCACTATGGCCCCCTCCCCTCATGGATCGACCCTCGGCTCGGCCGCCGACAGCTGGGCAGGCGTCAGCTGCACAGGACAAGACCACCATTGCACAAAAGCTTCAACAGCCTATCACTGTCACAGCTTGATCTACCCTGTCAACCTCCCAGTCCCTCCCACGTAGTACCCCGACTCGGCGTAGTGCGGGTTGCTCGCGATGAGAGTCGAACATAGTGGCACCGAGTCCCTCTTGCATGGTCCACGGGGCGACTCGGGCGGCAAGACGCTGCTCGCGCCGTGCTCGGGCCTCAGAGCGCTCGCGGGCAATCGTAGCCAGACCTTTCTCCGTGAGGGGGACGGGGCGGGGTGGTGGCGGCGGGATGTGGGCAGGGGCGGCGCTGGCTTGAGCAGGGCAAGCGGCATCGCGACCGGGGATCGGGGTGCCCTCCTCCTCCTCCTCCTCCTCCTCCTCCTCCTCCTCCTCCTCCTATGGGATCGGGGCCCCTGGGCTCCGCCTCGGGATCGCGTGCGGCACCCGGCACAGAAGGGGGGGTCGGAGGTGGCGGCTGAAACTTATGTCGCTCGGGATCGGCACGGGCCCCGCCGAGGGGCCTGTGAGACGAAATCGGGGGCCCAACTCTCGTCGGTGCACTGATGGGGGTCCCATGCAGTATAAAAAGTCGGTCAAGGACCCACGGAGCTCGGTTTCCCTTTCCCGCATGTCGTCTGGTAGTGCGTCTGGGTCGCTGGTCTCACGCATATGGTGTACATAGTACAGAGTCCATAATACCGTCCGCTAGTACCTGACACAAAGCCGGGGGGTATGTCTTCTTTTTGGCAGTGCGCCATTCGTCACGACTACGATCGTAACCCATCAGGACCTCGTGTGACCCACGCCCACGTGAGCAGCGTCCTCTCCCAGGTGTCTCCAGTACGTAGGCGCTCGTGTAGTGCGCACATGCGCAATGCAAGGATGCGGGTAGGTGCACGCGCGCTCTGTCCGTGCTCGCACTGATCGAAGTCTGTCACCGTGGCCGCTGGCGATGCCATCACGGCTCGCGAGGATGGGGCGAAGAAAGAACTCGCCGCGGCTCGTCTCCAGCTGGCCGGCATGGGATGCTCCATCCACACGCGCTCCCACTCCCTCAAAAGTCTGCGGCGGCGAAGCCCCACCCTCTTGGCGGCCAACGAGGTCGCGGCCTCTTCGTCTGACGACAGGGCCCATTTCATCTTAGTTTGTTCCAACTCGGCTTCCAAGGCCTCTTTTTCCACCTCATGCCCTCGCAGCCACGGGGCTTGGTGTCTTTTTGGCTTCTTACCGAGAACTTCCGAAGCAACCGAGCTCACCAACGAGACGAGTTCAGCCCGATAGACGGGGCGCCCTATCGCCATCAGGCGTGTCGTCATGGCGGCCGCAAACGTTCCCGCTCGTCTTAGCGCTCCCTGTCGGGCCTACCATGCTGCCATAGTCCAGTCTCTCTGCAAACGGAGTGTGAACCACCCCTTTAGTCCGGCGCAACCACGAATCAGACAGCCGAGTATGGACCTCCACAGGCTCATGATCCGTACAGGCGGACCAAGCCATCGCTCCGTCCTCGCGCTCTCTCCATGTATCGTTGCCTTGGACCCGGCGACGCTTAAATGCGCGGCGGCAGCCCTGTTCCCCATCTTGCCCGAAGTGCAGGGTTCTACATACCGTGAAGTGCCACTGGTCACGGGGCCTTGTTGAGATATGGTCCAATTGGTGGGCCGTGCGGTAACGTGGATGCCACCACGTGGCCGCCTGTCTCTGGCGGTACACCGTGCTCATAACATGAGATGGGCCCAGCAGAACTCTTTGAGTTGCCGACCAGAGTCTATCGTTGTCATCCTGGGTTGTCCGCTGGCCAGCTTCCGCGTTCGCGTTGAAGTCCCCACTCATGACGAACATATGATTCTGCCCACGATTCGGTTCTTCCACGAAGCGAGCGAAGTTCCTCATAAAACGGCCCCGGGCATGGAGCGCATTTTGGTCCAAAGCAAGGCGCGCACACGGCCACGAGGGTTAGGCCACGATGATGGCCTGTGCGCGGCACGGTGAGCGCCAGACACCGAGTCCACTTCCGATCATGCCCACCACGAACTACGACGCTGCCTCCCCCATCCCACCACTGCTGTGCTAAATCCTCCCTCGAAGCAACCCCCACCTTCACCCTAATCACCAAGGTCCAGATGATACCCTCGAACTCATACTCACGGACACTGTGTTGGTGGAAGTCAAGATCAGACAACAGGCATAATCGCCATCGATGCGTGTTCATGAGAGTGAACAAGCATTCCGCCTTCATCTCTTCATTCATTGCCTGGTCATCTGCCCCAAAACGCCGGGTATTCCACGTACATCCGAAAATATACTTGGTGGTGTTTTTGCGCGATCGTCTACGCCGCGTGAGTAGCGACAGATTAAGCAACGCCTGCGATCGTTTCCTAGCCTTCCTACCTCTCATCTGTGCCTCCCTTGCCTCCTTACGGCGCACACTCCTGCGCCGGCACCGTGCATCACCTTTTGGTGTCGCGGGGCCCGAAAGGCTCGCTCCACAGCGACCCACTTCCTCTGGACCCGAAATCGGCGCGCGCCTGGACCACGGGCGTCGCCGTTGCCTTAAGTCGGGCGTGTCCCCCTACAGGGGGATTTTCGACGAAAAATATAAAATACACCAAAAATAGTCTGGGGATCATTTTTGGAGTATTTTGTTGGCCTTTTTGGTGTATCTTTAGGGTATTTTTCATTTTTCGTCGAAAATCCCCCTGTAGGGGGACACGCCCGACTTAACCGTTGCCGCTCCCTGCCCCTCCCCCAGGGGAAAAGTCCCAGGACCCAACCGCTTCCCCGCCCCCCTTCCCAGTACACTACGATTTCGGCTGCGTCACCCTCTGCGCCGGCCCTCGAAGCACCCGCTCGGGCCACGACCACCTTGGGCTCCGTCCGCCTCGGCCTGCCCAGTTGCAGCCAGCGGCAGTCCTGGGCCCAGGGCTCGCCCTAGGTTTCTCCGTCCCCGTGCTCCTCGCAGTGGAGATGCTTTTTGGGCGATCTGGACACCCCATGGGGTTCCTGGTGCCCTGCTCCCCCGCCGCCACAGATCAAATCTTGTAGCTAGGACGCCTCTTCCTCACACCTCCCTTTCTCGCTGAGAATCCTCCCTTCCTCCTTCTCCTCCTCCTCCTCCTCCTCCTCCTCCTCCTCCTCCTCCTCCTCCTCCTCCTCCTCCTCCCCCTTTTCCTCCTCGTTTTCCTCCTCCTTTCCCTCATCCTTTTCCTCCTCCTCCTCCTCCTGCCTCTAAGGTGGTCTCCTCCTCATATCCCTGCCTCCGTCCTCCGTCGTTTAGACATGCCCATCACACGCTTCGTGTCCCCATGGGAAGCTCCACCCACGGCCCCGGTGGGTGCGTTCGAATGGCGTCCAGCGCCCCGTTCGGCACACCCCTCAGAATCGCGTATCACAGGGAGCTTCACTTGTGGCGTAGGTGTGTTCGCATGGCACCCCCGCGCCTATTTCGGCACACCCTCCATGCGGATCCTGTCCCTGAGGATGCTCCACCCACGGTCCCAGTGAGTGCGTTGGCGTGGCCCCCCCCCCCCCCGCGCCCCAGTTAGCATACCTCGCACGCGGAGCGTGTCTTTTGGGGGATGTCCAACTACGGCCCCAGTGAATGCGTTTGCACGGCGTCCCCGCGTCCAACTCCCCCAGACTCTTCGCGCTGATGGCGCAATGCAGGGAGCTCTTCCAGAGGCCGTCCCCCAGTCAGGCCGTTCAAGTGCGCTCCCCCGTCGACTTCGACGTACTCATCACTGGGATCGGGTCCCACAGGGATGCGATGCACTGGTCCCGCGGCGCGTGAGAAGATGAGGAGAGGATCGCGCCAGGCGCTGCACGTAGATAGCTGCACAGGTTTGGGCCCTTCGCCAGGCGGATCGTGCTTGTTTTTGCGTTGGCCTCCCAGGACCTAGGAGGTCTTCCTTGGGGGGCTCCTTGGGGCCTCCTTTGGGGGGGCTCCTGTGGGTCGTCGGGTCGCCTCGGGGGGGCGAGGTGCCAGCAGAGTACCCTGGGGGCCTTCCTGGGGCGCTGGCCGCCGGGGGAAGGTCCAGATGCGGCCGTGGGCCAGTTTTGTGCCATGCGGGGCCCGCTCGAGCGGGGCCCCGCCTCCTCCTCCCTCCTCCTCCTCCTCCTCCTTCTCCGTCTTGGGCCAGCGGGGCGGCAGCCTGGGAGGCCAGGCCCGGACGGCCGCGAGCACGACGACTCCTCAGCAAACGAGTCACCGAATGCGTGGTGGCCTCAATGCGGTGAGGAACCGCGTCACCTGCTTCGCGGGAGAGCAGCGCTCAGAGAGCCAGGTGGTCTGAGGCGCATGCACACACGCCCGCGCACTCGCACGCGCACACATGCACGCACACACGCACACGCACACGCACGCGCGCACGCGCACACGCACACGTGCGCACGCACAGAGTTCTGAGCGCACGCTTTGCGGCGGCCGCTGCCTCGCGCACAGCGACGAGGCGAAGCAGGCCGGTCAGAGGAGGAACTGAGGGCGCGCGCGGCCTTTTGGCCACTCAGAAGATGGAGCAGGGATCCACATGTATCGAATGTGCCATGCGAATGCCCGGGCATGGGCAGCAAGGGTGGGGAGGGTGGGCAAGCAGGCAGCAGTGAGCGACGCGTGGAAGCGGAAGCGCAGTGCGGCCGACACGGCAGAGGCGACGAGCCAAGTGGTAAAGACAAGACACTGGAACAGGCAGAGAGCAAAGGCGACAGCCGCGCACTGGGGAAGCAGAGCGAGAGCGTGCGCTTTCAGGGCGCGCACACACATGTACATCAGCCGCGGCAGAGATCGGCGACGAATCCACCAAACGCACGTGGAACAAGTGCGCGTGCTCGTGCTGCTTCTTTGTCGGGGATCCCTGCCTCTCGATCGGCCGCGCCGCCACTCGCGTAAAGCGAGCTGCGAAGAAGACGGAGCGGACCGTTCGCGGGCTTCCCCGTCTGCTCTTGCAGGGCCGTGGAATTCGGGCATTGGTTCTAGCGGTGCGCTCCTTTGTCGGGCCGAGCGAAAGGGGGGATAGCAAAGGGGGGGGTTTGAGAATCAGCTCACGTAGCTGATTTTACCGGCGCCTCCTGGCGCCGGGAGGCGCCCATGTATCGAGGAATGGGCCCGGCGGCGGGGCCGAAACCAGCTGCATGCAGCAGATTTCGTACCCCCCCCTTTCCCAACCCCCCCCTTTTGCCCGACCCGACTTTGCACGACGCTTGTGACGCAAGATGCTTCGCGTTCATCGCCCGACCTTTCTAGATCCCGCCGGACGAGAAGCATGGCTCCAGGACGGGCCGACTCCATGCCGAACGTAGTCCAAGAGGGCTCCGCAGGAGGCCAGACACCGCCCGGAAGCCTATCAGCAGTCGTCCAGAGACGGGGGGTCTCGGAAGGGCCACGAGGGGGGCCACGAGGACTTTTTTTAGATGGCTCAGGTGTGAGTGTTCTGGTGTTGAGCCAGAGTCTGGTCCGCATTGGATTCAATCTGGGCCCGCGCTGGGGCAGAGACGGGGGGCCTCAGAAGGGCCCGAGGGGGGCCACGAGGACTTTTTTAGATGGCCCGGGTGTGAGTGCTCTGGTGTTGCGCCAGAGTCTGGCCCGCCTTGGATTCCATCCGGGCCCGCGCTGGGGCCGAGTTTTGAGCTAATGCTACTGCTACTACTGCTACTACTACTACTACTATTACTACTACTACTACTACTACTACTACTACTACTACTACTACTACTACTACTACTACTACTACTACTACTACTACTACTACTACTACTACTACTACTACGACTACTACTACTACTACTACTACTACTACTACTACTACTACTACTACTACTACTACTACTACTACTACTACTACTACTACTACTACTACTACTACTACTACTACTACTACTACTACTACTACTACTACTACTACTACTACTACTACTACTACTACTACTACTACTACTACTACTACTACTACTACTACTACTACTACTACTCTACTACTACTACTACTACTACTACTACTACTACTACTACTACTACTACTCTACTACTACTACTACTACTACTACTACTACTACTACTACTACTACTACTACTACTACTACTACTACTACTACTACTACTACTATTGAGCCTAGGACTGTCGAAACATTGACTTTCTGTGTTCAGAACGCCACAGACGATGGACACTTCTCAGAAGAGGCCCGCAGGCGACCCACTCCAGGCGAAAGCACGTGACAACCATATGGTTGCAGTTCCAATCGGTTCGCGACGTTGGGCCGAAGAGGCGCTCCGTGTGGCCCAACGGGACTGTCTCGGAGGCCAAGAAAAAGGTCCCAAGAGGGGCCAGACTGAAGCGGATATCTGTTTTGAAAGGGTGTTTGGGGTCGGTGTGAAACAGGAAAACGAGGTGGGCGTAAGCCCCGAACGGAGGTACCGAAGTCAGGTTCCAGACGCTCTTCAGCACGGTGGGCGGGCGGATTCAAGACGTTTCGCGTTCGCCGCCCGCGCCAATTATTTGTCGCTGTGCCCCAGCCTCGGTCATGCCGCCCTCTGGACTTCTCCTTGCGGGCCGCGAATCAAAAAAACGTTCGCCGCCCGCCATTTGTAGCTGTCGCGAGTCCACGGCGGCCCCACATGAGGAACACTGTCTCAATGTGGTTGATACGTTTTCCAAAGATGGTACAAGAGGCCCTCCAAGTGCCCCCCCCAACAGCTCAAGAAGGCCCCGATGGGGCCACGCAGGGCTTTCAGGTGGCTCAAGCGCGAGCGGCCTTGGGCCCGAACCCAGCTCGAGTTCTTTTCAATCCAGGCCCGCCCTGGGGTCGACTTGGGCTTCGATGTGGGGCCCAGGGGCTTCCAGGCGACCCCCAGCCAGGCGAAAGTCATCAAATTATATGTGTGAAGCACCCGACCAGAAGCAGCTGTGAATCGGTCAAGGCGCGGCCCTCTGAGGTCATCTGTGGAGACTATGAGGCCACGAAAGCGGGTGAGGGGTGTGCCGAAATGGGCTGGACGGCGGCATGCGACCGTTGCCACTGGGGCCGTGGGTGGGGTTCCCTGTCGTGCCACGAAGCGCATGAGACTCGTGTGACGGGTGCGCTGACTCGGACATGCGGAGGCGAGCAGAAACATGAGAGAGGAAGAGGAGGATGAGGGGGAGAAGGCAAGCTAGGTGCGCTCGAGTCATATCTGACGTCCGACCCATCCCTCCCATCCCTGACCACGGCGTAGATCTCCTTTCTAAGCGCAGAACTGGATGTCGTAGCATGGCATAGCATGGTGTTGGAAATTAACCCGTCGAATGACATAGCATGGCGTGGCGGCGCCCCAAGGTGGTGGGCTTCCGCGGCCCCAAAAATCAACGAATCGTTGCCGAATGTGTAATTACTTCCGCTGGTTTTTCGGGTGGCCATTTTTTCATTTTGGGGCTTATGAAGGACCGAAAGGCATGCCGTGGCATGGCGCTGCAAATAATGACGCCAGCGCTACAGCGGGAGCACTATTCGGAACGAGCGGTACTTCGAACATGAGGCCAGCGCTTCAGCGAGAGCAGCATCTTGAGCAAAACGCCCAGCGCGGAAGCGCGGAAATGAGGACGCGTAGCCTGACATAGCATGGCGTGGCGACGCCCCAAAGTGGGGCGGCGCTTCCGCGGCCCAAGCAATCAACGAATCGTTACCGAATGTGTCATCACTTCCGATGTTTTTTTTTTCGGGTGGCCGTTTTGTAAATTCTGGGGCATACGAAGGACGTCAAGACATGCCGTGGCATGGCGCTGCAAATATGACGCCAGCTCTGCAGCGGGAACACTACTCGGAACAAGCGGAAGCGCGGAAATGAGGCCAGCGCTGCAGCGTGAGTATCATTCGGAACGAGCGGTAGCCCGAAAATGAGACCAGCGCCTCAGCGAGAGCAGCATTTTGACAAAAAAACTAAGCGAAAACCCAGCTCCCGGGAATCCTGTGTGTTAGAAAACCAGTTCGCGGAGGGGGGCCGAACAATCCCCGGACGCCACCAGGGGAAAGAGGAGATTAGTATTCATATTGTTGAATTGTTGAATGAGACGCGGGCAAGGAGAGGCGGGGTAGGAGAGAGGAGAAGGAGGTGGAGGAGGAGGAGGAAAAGGAGGAGGAGGAGGAGGAGGAGACGCGGGGCGATGCGGATTCAAAGCAATGCCCCAATTCAACACAGGATGATTGGGGAACGGCCAAGTTACAATGTCTTGAACCTTTCAACCTGTCTTCGAAATTTGGCCTGTTGGAGGGCTCAACGGTCGGTTTTGGAGGCCAGCCAAGCAGAGGCCCAAGTGGTGCCAACATAGAGCAGACGCCAGTTTCGAAAGTCGGGAATGATGTGGGGCACGATCTCGTCTTGGATGGTCGCTTGGAGCTGTCGTGGGCTCCGACAAGTGGGTGGCGCGCAGCCGGGTGGCGAAGAGGCGGAGCCTGTTGGTGGGAAAGCGACTCAACGCCCTGAAAAGGGCCATCTACGACAAGGTCTCGCGCACCCCTCGGCCCAGTGGGCGGGTGGATTCTAAAGGTTTGCGCTACCCGGCCGACCCCCAACGACGGAACTGACTATGATGGTTCGGGTGCCCCGTCCAGGTGTTCGCGGCAATTTCCGCCACCGTGCCAGCGCAGCATTCTGTGTGGCGACGCTTCGAGCACCGCCCGGAAGGCCGCAGCACGTGGCATCCCTCGTCGGGCCTATATGTGCCGTCTTGGGCTCATGTGGGTCTGTCTTGGGGCCCTCTGGGGACCATCTTGGCCCGTCTCGGGGCCCTCTTGGGCCGTCTTGGTACCGTCTCGAGCCGTCTTAGCCGTATTGGGGATGTTTGGGGGGCTCTCCTGGAGGCCTCTTGGGGCCATCTTGGGCCACCCTGGAGCCCTCTTGGGCCCCTTCTTGGGGCCCTCGAAGGGCTGTCCTGGACCGTCCGGGGAGCCTCTTGGGGCCATCAGTGAGATCGTTCGACTTTTTGTGCTGCTCCTCCTAGGCCCTCGTGGAACCATTTTGAGCCGAGAGGGCTGGACAGTCCAGCCTATCATTATCAAAAACGCCCCCTGCCTTTTGGAAACACCCATGCGGCCAAACATTGGGTCGAAATCTGGCGAGGCTATTGGACTATGTGCTCCCCTAGCCCCTAGCCGTTGTGGAACCTCTTGCAGAACTTGGTGGGATACTTCGGATAGGAGGAGGAGGCCTCTTGAGGCTCTCTTGGGGCCTCCTGGGGGTGTCCTGGGAGCCTCTCGGGGGCCTCATGGCCGCCCCTGGGTCTTGCTTTCCTGTGGCCCCTCGGGGCGATCTTGGCGTCCCTTCGGGAGTCTTGGGGGAGCTTCAGTGGCTCTTGGGGCCGTGCGTGGGGGGGAGTCTTGGGGCCGTCCTGAACCCTTTTCGGGACCGCCCTGGACGCCAGCCGGGAGCCTCCGAGGCAATCTTGAGGAAGCCGTGGGGATGTCTTACGAGCATGTTTGCGGCCGTCTTGGAGTCTCGAGGAGGCTCCCCTTGGATCTCGGAGAGGCCTCTGCGGCGCATCCTTTGAAGGGCTTGCGGAGCCGAAGAGCAGGGATCACCACCCACCAAACCACCCCAACGCAACCCGAAGGCTCAGATTTACCCTCGATTTCCAGTGGGGGGGGGGTCGGGAAACCTTGAAAAAACACATGTGGAACCATTACCCCCCCCAACCCGAAATTCGGGTCTTCGGGTTGGGTTGGGGTGGTCTGGTAGGTAGTCAGGAATGCATGAGGCATGCGACAGCCGAATCGGATTCGACGATGTTGGGCCCTCCGCGGAGCCCTTCGCGGAGCCAGCTTGGGCTCTCTGGCGATCTCTTGAGCCATCTTGGGATCGCTCTGAGGTTTTGCGGTGCCATTCCGAGCCAGCTCTGGCCACCCGAGGCCCTCCACGGCAGTCTTGACCCGTCTCGAAGGACCTGCAGGTTGGTGAGCTGTTTCGGAGGGGTCGGAGGGTGCATTGAGGGGTTTGTACCCCCTCGGCATCGCTCGGACGTGTGCATTTTTTCTAGGCGAGAACCATCGAGGACCATCCTGGACCATCGAGCAAAAAGAAACACGCACGAAACCGAAAAATGCATGGGAAATAGACGTCCGAGCGACGGCAAGCCCCCCGTGAAACGGAATGTTGGACCCGCCGTGGAGGAAAACATGGGGGCAGCCAAGCTTCGCACACGCTCTGTTGCCGGATTTTCAGCTCTCCACGAGCACAAGGCGGTCATCGGCCTCTCCTCTATGAGAAGGCTGCCTGGCGTGGGCCTAGCTCTGCGCAGTCTGCTTTCTGTGTAGATTATGTCTCCCCCATCCCCCTCATATCCTTATCTTCCTCGCATCCACCCCCTCCTCATCCTCCCTCTTCTCATTTTCCTCCTTCTCTCCTTCTCCTCGTCTGCAGATGTCGCAATATTTTAAGCTTCGCCCCAGCGCACGAGGTGCGCGGTGTGACCATCATCATCCTCATACTCCTACTTCTCTCGCAGCCCTTCTGGGAACTCGCGCCTCATGTTTATGGAGAAGGCCTTAGGCCGGTGCCGTCCCCCGTCTCCAAAGACACGACCCCCGGGCCCTCCCCCCCCCCGGGACCACCCCTCCCCGGCACCCTCCGCCTGCGCCCCTTTCCCCGGACCCGCCCCCCTCCGGGACTCCGCCCCCCGCTGCCCCCCAAAAGGAAGGGATCAGAGGAGAGGGGCTTGACGAGGAGGGCCCAGGGAAAAGGGAAAATGGAAGATCGACGACGGACACGGGCACGGAAAGAGTGGGTACGATGCCCAGCAGTAGTTCCTGTTCATTTTGAACAGGACTCGCTGTCCGCGCCGCCGCGGCTTGTTTCCATTTGAGACAGAAGGCCGCCTGCCAAACAGCGGTCGTTGTTGGTTCGGGACAACATTTGCTGTTGGGCATTGTGTCCATTCCTTCCGTACCCATTTCGGGCGTCCAAAGAAGAGCGACGACGACGACCCAAACGGAAGAACGTCACACACACACACACACGCTGACAGGGACGGCGGATTCCCTATCCGTTTCTCGTCGCCCCTCTTATACATCTGTCCCTCAGCCTCGACCTCTCCTTTATTCCATGCCCTGTCATTTCTGGTCATCCATGCTTCCTTCATTCAGCCGTCCAGCGACAAATACCTACCGCACTTGGCCCTGCTACCGCAACCGTCGGTTCGCAGTGCTGGTGATCCCCGCGTTCGCTGCCGTCGGCAAGGTGCCTCGTGTTGGTGATGGCGATTGCAGCGATGAGGCTCACGAACGCAGATGTTAAATGACATATGGGGTGGATAGGAGCATGAGTGTGAAGAGTGTGATGTGGAGGGGTAGGGTGACGACGGCAACGAAGAAGGCTATCATTAGCACGGTGTTATGTAATGAGGATGATGACGACGAGGATAAAGCTGTTGTTGAGGCTGATGCTGATGCTGCTGATGCTGCTGATTGTGAGTATGATGCTGCTGATGATGCTGATGCTGCTGATGATGACGATGATGGTGATGATGATGGTGATGGTGATGGTGATGGTGATGGTGATGGTGATGATGATGGTGATGGTGATGGTGATGGTGATGGTGATGGTGATGGTGATGATGATGATGATGATGATGATGATGATGATGATGATGGTGATGATGATGATGATGATGATGATGATGATGATGATGATGTTGATGATGATGATTCTTGTAACGGTGACGGTGACGGTAATTGCGATGGTGACGGTGATGGTGTTGGTGATAACGACGACGGTGGGAACGCCAATGGTCCTGTTGATGGTGGCGACGCCGCTTTCATGATTCCGATGGTGATGACCATGATGTCGACGATATTCTGACCTGAGGCGGAAAGCGAGATGATGGTGACAACGACGATGAAGAGATGACCATTACGACGATGATAGCTCCGCAGTGTACGGGTATGTGACACGGGGGCCCTAGCCACGAACCCGACGGCGGACAGAACTGCCGCCCTGCGCCAGGACCAGCCAGGCGCCGCCCAGATCAGGGCCACCCTGAGGTCGGAGGTGAGGGGGTGAGATCGAAGTGGAACGGAGAGCCCCCCTACCGGGAAATCGATTTCGGTTTCGTGTTCGTGCGTGCGGTGCGTGCGGGCGAAGCGAACCTGCGTGGGCGGGCGAGAGAAAGTCTCCTGTGGCTGAGGCGCGGCCGGACCAAATGATTCCCTTCCGGGCGGCCGGTGGCCCGCGGTGTCCCGCCGGTGTCCCGCTGGTGTCCCGTGTGGCTGAGGCGCGGCCGGACCAAATGATTCCCTTCCTGTCGGCCGGTGGCCCGCGGTGTCCCGCCGGTGTCCCGCGGTGTCCCGCGGTGTCCCGTGGTGCCCCGCGGTGTCCCTCGGTGTCCCGCGAGGATGATGATGATGAAAAGATGAAGATAATGATGATGATGATGATG